CAGCCAACTGCATCTCAGTGCTGGGCAAGGAGTTCCTATATAACCAGCCCCTAACATGCCCTACTCCAGAGCTGGCTGCATCTCGGTGTCAAGTGAGGGGTCCCTGTATAAGCAACCCCTACCATGCCCCCCACCCCAGGGCCAGCCACTTCTTTGTTCCAGCCCTAACTGATGCCTCCCTCTCTCTTTCTCTGCCCTTCCCAGGCCCAGGGCTTCCGCTACCCCCGCCCAGCCTCAGTGCCCCCATCTCCCTCCATCTCCCGCCACTCCAGCCCCCACCACAGTGAGACAGAAGAGGATGACGAGCGCTACGATGAGGATGAGGAGGCGGAGAAGGACCGCCAGAACATCAAGCCACCTGCCACCATGGGCCCTGTCCCTGACTGGCGCAAGCAGCCCAAAAAGCTGTCCAGTGAGGCCAGCACCTCCTCCAATGCCAGCACTCCCACCCTGCCCAGCAGCCCCAGTGACCTCAGCAGCCCTGGCAGCTCCATCATTGAGGAACGAAACTAGAAACCTTCTAGATCATTCTTGACCCTGGGGGGCCACTCCACAACAGGCGGCCAGCGCCCCGCATTGGAATGGTTCTAGGCCCCATCCCATCCCATCCTCCTGCTTTTGGCTTTCCCCTGTGATGCCCCCATCCCAGGCTTGCCAGGCTTTGTTGCAGTCTATACCAAGGATGCTCAACCTTTCCAGCCTATGGGCCAGAGAAGTGGGGTGGGACTGACCCCTGGGCTGGATGGGGCTCCACATGCCAGGATCAGGCCCCACATGGCTTTGGCCAGCCTCTGTATGCCCACATTGGGTCTCATGTGCCAGGATCAGGCCCATGTACTAGAAATTTTGGGCCCTGTACTACCCCCACCCAGCCCAGGGGGATCTATGCCACTAATTTTGCGCACACAAGCAATGCTATCCAACCCACGGGCTCCCTGTGGCTTCATAGGTTGACAGTGGGGAGAAGGGGAGCCACTCCCCCACTGCCACATTTTGGACCTGTCAAGAGCATCGTAGTCCTGATGAGCTGGATCTGGCCCACAGGCCAGGGGTTGAGCACCCCTGATCTAGAACCCTGCTGCTCTGGGGCCTTCCCTGCCAAAGGTGCTTGGAGGGCCACAAACGTGGTTGCATGCAGGGGGGTTGTGTTCTGCATTATTCAAAGAGGCTGCAGGATCCAGGCAGCTTCAGACATTCTAGATTGGGACCTGTGTTGGCTTGGGAGGGAGGTTCTAAGCTGCTCTAGAATGTGCTGGAGAATGGAAGGGCTCTGGAGATGTCTGGGCAGTGGTTTGATGCTGTACTGTGGGGAACATTTTAACATGGAGCCCCCTCCACAAACAGAGGTGTAGGTTGCTCTAGAGCACTGTTCTAGAGCTTCACAGGACAACTCTAGACTGGCTTCAAATACAGTGCCTTCCTGGGGGAGCTTGAAGCAGGCCAGGATGGAGAGTGAAGGGAAGGGTCCGGCTCTCCAGAACGCAGATCTGATGGTTGCCGAATGCTGCCTCAAGCGATATGGTTCAGGATGAGTCTAGAACAGGGTTGAGATGTTCTAGGTTGGTCTAGAGTTGGGCCTGCTCCTGAGTGCTTGGGAGTGAGTCTCAGCTGTGAGGTTTAAGCCCCAGTAAGGCTCTGGGTTGTTTTTGAATGGGCCATGATTAAGGGTCTGTCTGGATTTGGGTCTGAACTAGAGCTTAGGGATGCAAAGAATGTTGCTAATGTGTCAGTGTTGGAAGTCTGGGGTGCTTTGGAATGGACCTTGTTTCTGGGTTGTGGGGTGTCCAGAGATTGTGTGAGCCTTCCTGTTCTAGAACACAGTTGCGTAACCTTTTGGCCCTGCACATCCCCTATGTGCCAGGATTGGGTCCTGGGGTGATGGCACCAACCTTTCTGGCCCACTTGCATGCTGGGATTGGGTCCTGGAGGCCTGGCACTACCCACCCCCCCCATGCACCAGAATTGGGTCCTGAAGGACCAGCACTGGCCCCAGGCTCTCTTGCCCCCTGTGCGCTGGGATTGGGTGCCAGGGCCCCATTGCTGCGTGCTGGGATCAGGTGCCAGATCCAGCACGCAGGGCCTGGGGCTCCCCATGGGTCTGGATATTTGGCAATAGGGGAATGGTACCACCACTCTCCTGCCACCAAATTTCCGGATCTGGGCCGTGGCCTGGAGGTTGGGCCCCCCACCCTGTCTAGAGGTTCTGGGGGTTCTCTAGAAACTCTTTGGGAGAAGGAGGGGTCCCCTGGCCAGAGCATTGCATGCTAGCTAAGCCATTCAACACAGGTCCTGTATGCTCCAGCCTAGCCCTCTGCTCTAGAGCACCCTAGTACCAGCTGGGTCTCAACGAGCCGGCTAGAGCAGGTTCTGGGGAAGTGGCCTATGGGCTAGCAAAACCAGGGGCCAGAAGCAATATTCTAGGTACTGCTGTGGACCTGTCTGACCCATGTTCCAGACTAGATAATAAGATATGGGTGGCAGCAAGGCTGGCCTGACCTGCTAGCTGCCCTCCCATCAGGCTAGTTAGAGCCCCTTTTAGACTGTAGATATTGAGGCTGGTAGATCTAGATCCTGGGCTGTGGCTCTCAATCACTGGCTGCAGGGGAGGCCCCGAGCTTCTCCAGAACTGTGCATGGCTGGAAATAGCAGTGGGGTCTGGATTACTCAAGGATGTTGCTGGGAGCTCCCAGCTTCTTCAGGGCTTGGGTAACATTACTCGACCCCCCCACCACCCATCAAGGATGCAGTCCTGAGGCCAGGCAGCTACTTCTGGGGAGAAAGCCTTCAGATGCAGCCACCTTGGGTGGAGCAACAGTTTGTTCACTTGCAGATCTCAGGCACAGGCTTCAGCCCGTCCCCACTGAAGCAAGGGAAGTTGGTACGTGAAGCTGTTGTCTCTTCCCCACACCCTGTCTCCTGTCCTGTATTCTCCCCACAGCAAACTCCCCCCAGGCAGCTCCCTGCTCCCATTCAGCTTTTATTTATGGATGTTGCACACACAACTGGGCTCATGTCACACTGTTTCTGTCCGTCCCCTGATCATGACAAGAACAAATGCATCCAATATCAGAATAAAAAGGGATTTCAAGACAGTCATTTCAACTGCTCCTTATGGGTTTGCGCAGGGGTGGTGTTAGGCAGAGCCTGGATGGAAAATGCAGCTGCTTCTGGAGTGGGGCGCACTGCTTCTGTGAGGATCCCACAGCTGGATTTCAGCCAAAGTCCAAATGATAACAGCAGAGACACCTGGGTTCTCTCCCAAAGATTCTGGGAGGCAGAATGGAGTTTTGCTGGGTCAAAACAGGGAGTCTCGGGGGTTCTCTCTCAACTTTTGGATATAATGGATTAGGGTAGGGAGGATCAGAGCTAGGATGCCAGCTTCTCTCCTGGCTCTGGACTCAGGCAGAGCACAGCTGGAAGCCAGGATGCCTTGGTTATTTCCACAGGTGTGGAGGGGAGTTGGGATCTGGTGGATTTCAGGATGGTGCTGCTGGGGTTGAGGACTCCTAGGGCCTGATTTGACTCTGAGAGTACAGTGGAGTCTGGGTTTAGAGCACAAGGTTTGGGGGGAGAAGTGTGGGGAGCCCAGACACCTGAGTTTCATTTCTCTAACATCTCTCCTCCCCTGTAAAATAGATAGTAAAGACCCAGCCTAGATCTTAATGCCAAGCATTTATTGGATGCCAGTTAATTTGTTTTTCCCTTGGGAGTGCAGGTTTGCTGTTGCACTGGAATGTAGTGGGGGAGATGTGCCCCACCCAGGTTTAGATTTAAAGAGCCAGCACAGCTGCAGAGCAGGTCTGTGGTCACAGGGCTCAGTCACTGCTCTCGTCTAGAGTGAGGTGGTCAAAGAGGTACTCGCCCAAGCCAGAGTCAGGCATCCCCACACGCTGCAAGTTGGTGAGGTGGTCACCCAACTTCTTGATGAGCTTCACCTCCTCATCCAGGTAGTGAGTCTCCAGGAAGTCACACAGCTGTGGGGAGGGGGAAAAGCAGCAGGGCTCAGGACACCTGGGTTCTATCAGCTCAGGCAGGGGAGTGGGGTCTGGTGGAAGGGGGCGGTGCTGGAAACCAGGACACCTGGGTTCTACCCCTCACCCTGGGAAGGGAGTGGGTCTGGTAGGTTAGAGCAGAGTCTAGGAGCCAGGACTCCTGGGTTCTGTTGCAGTTGTGGAAATAGGAAAAAGGTATAGTGGGGTTTGGGGAGGGGCTTGGCTGCCCAACTCTAGGAAGGAAATGGGTTCTGCTGGGTTAAGACTAAGGATAACTGAGAACCAGGACACCTGGGTTCCTTCCTGGCTCTGGAAGGACAGAGGTAGGTCCCAATGGGTTCAACCCTATGGGCTTGGGGAAGGGAGCAATTCTCCTGTGGGAGCTTCTTTCTACCTCTTCCCAAGCCCCTGCCCTAAGCCCCCCATGCCTAGGGGAGTTGGGGATAGTGTCTGTGGGACAAAGGTTTTAGCTGAGCCTGCAGGGTGCTGGCACATGACAGGAAGTCAGGAACCTGGGAAGTGAGAGACCTGAGACAATGGTGGGAGGACAGTGTTAGGGCAGTGTACTGCATCCCTAGGGGATCTGTGCACTCTCCATCCCTGGAGGAGTTCAAGGAGAGGTTGGACAGGCACTGGTCAGGGATGACCTAGGTGTAGATTTGCCTGTATTCTACTATGGAGTTCTAGGTTTCTGGGCCTTGCTGGTTGCCCCCCTTCCTTTCTGTGTGTCCGGGTGTTTTTAAAAAGCCTTCCTCAGAGGCACTGGATGTTGGCTGCAGCCAAAGCTGGGGATTGGGACTGGGCTGTGCCAGTGCTCCTGCTGGGACTGGGCTGTGCCAGTGCTCCTGCTGGGACTAAAGCCAGAGGTTCCTGTCTAGAGGGTCTTGCCCCTCTGCTCAGGGTCCAATTGATTCCCACACTTGGGGTCAGGAAGGAATTTTACTCTCTCATCAGACTGGTGTACACCCAGGGAATTTTAGCCTTCCTCTGCAGCAGGCCCATGGCCTCTAACTGGGATCTCTTGAGTGTATATGAACAACTTTTTCCAGCAGCAGGACATTGGCTGCTCTCCTGGCTCTACCTGTGGCAGGTTCAGGTGTGATATGTTGCGTTGTCAGGGCTGACAGCAGTTTTTCCAAGAGGTTAGATGATGGATGTCTACAGGATAGTTTGGATAGGGCTGATCCTGCATCAGACAGGGCTTGGACTAGATCAGCATTTCTCAACCCGTGCCTCACGACCCAAAAGTGGGTCACAAGAATATACAAAAGGGTTGCGGAACAAACTTTAAAAATGGATTCTCCTTTAAAAGAAGAAAAACATGGGAAACTCATGGCTAACAGTTACAGCCTACAAGGAGCCCCCCCGGCCTCACCCCCCACCCTGCCCCCACACATTATGAGGCATTGGGTCAGGACTGGCCAACATTTAGAAATGGGTCCTAGTACAAAAAAAAAAAAAAAGGTTGAGAAGTGCTGGACTAGATGACCTCTAGAAGTTCCTTCCAGCCCTGCCTCTCTGACCTAGGCTGTCTGAGTTCTTCCCCAGCTCTGGGAAGAGAGTGGGGTCCAGTTGCCATAGCACAGGCTTGGCTCGGACTTCTGGGTTTCCTAGCTGGGACAGTGGGGGCATACTCACGTGGGGGTCAGCGTGGCGCGTGGCCACTTGGTGCAGGTCCAGCAGGGCCTGGTTGATGCTCTTCTCTAACTGCAGCACCGCCTGCATGGCAGCCAGCCCATTGCCCCACTCATCCTGCCCAGGCTTCTGAGAGAGAAGGGGGGGTGGGGGTGGGGGAGGCATTAGTGCCATACCTCAGGAACTGAGAGCTCCCCCAGCTGGCCCTGCCCCACTCACCTGGATGTCCTGCAGCACAAGGCGCCCCCCCCGGCGGTTTTGCAGCCCCATGAGGCGCTCAGCTTGCTCCCGCTTCTCCTCAGACTCATGGCGGAAGAACTTGGAGAAGCGGGACAGAGCCACATCATCACGGTCAAAGAAGTAGCCCTGGTGAGAAGGTAGGAGGGGGGTTAGATGGGGTGGGGGGCAGTCTGGGTTTGGGGCTCCCCCATTGCACAGGGCCCACTGTAGACAGACCCCCATCCATTGACAGGAACTCCCTGTGGCCCCCTTGCTGTCCATGTAGGGGGTCCCCTAAAATGGATGGGGCTCCCCCACATACAGCTAAGACCCTGAAGTGAGATACACCCCCTAAGTCAGATAGCCAGGGAACCCAGAAGTCCAGGCCATGCCTGTACCCAACTCACTTCCCAGAGCTGGGGGAGAACCCAGGTGTCCCAGGTCTTTCTCCCAACCAGCCCCTGCCCCTTACAAACACAGGGCAGCTTTCTCCAGCCCCTAGACATCAGCCCCAAACCATCTGATGCTCCCCCCCCCAACATGCAGACATCCCAGGTGCCCCCCACACCCACTGCTCCCTTCAAAGCCTCCCTGGGGAAGACGCCCCCCCCACACACTTCACCCAAGGAGATAGCCAGGGAACCCCCCCTCCCCCATGGAGCTGCCCCTCCCCTGTAGCCCCCTGGGCTGGGCATGGGGGTAATGATTAACAGGGGGGGGGGGTCAGAGGCTCTTTGTCTGGGGGGGAGGGTAAACAGAGGCTGGACTTTGCCCATCTGCATAGTGCCCTTGGAGGGGGCTGGGGGGGAGGGGAAGATGGGCACCCTAGGGGCCCACATCCATGGGTGAGGGAAGGGCATGGGGCTGTGCCTGTGGCAGACAGGAAGGGCTGTGGTGCCTCCCCACAGGCATGGCTCTCACTGTGGGGGAGAAGGCTGCAGGCAGTGTTGGCAGTGGGAAGGGGAGGGGGGGGCAGTGGATGGAGATGGCAGTGCCTGGTGCCAGCAGAAGGGAGGGCAGTGATGCCCTGCCCTATGGGAGATGGGGGCAGCAGGGAGCAGATAGAGAGGGCAACACCTGGTGCCCACAACGCAGCAGGGACCAGGTGTGGCTGGTGGGAGCTGGGGGGGGGGGGGGGAAAGGGGGCGGGCACGGCAAT